AACGTCGATTTTATTTTTGCGATGTAAAGAAAGTGGAACTGCTCTGTGGGCAGCGTTGTCACCTCAATCTTTCTTCCAGCTGAGGTCTTGCCCAATGTGGGGTTTATTCTCTGTTGCAGCAAATCTCCCAAGGGGAGCATTTTATGGAGGGTGCGTTTTTTTTTTTTTTTTTTAATGTGTTGTCTAGAAGTCGTTGGGTATGAAATTAATCAAGCGAGGAAATGTTTTATCTTTTTCCACCAATGTGTCTCAGAGCGAGCCCGTTCTGAATTCAGTGATTTGTGATGTCATTTGGCAAAATGTGTGTCATTCACAACCACAAAGAGTTTCTCTGCCCTTGACTTGGCAGGCAGGCGGGCCAAAATTTGTCATTTCCAAGCTGGACTTAATGGAAGCGCCGCAATGTCACAGGCGCCCATGAAGTCCGCAAAGCGTCGGATCACTGGCGCATCCTCCACATGCGGCAAGATTCATTCATTCATTTTCCTATCCGCTCATCCTCACAAAGGTCGCGCGGGGTGCCGGAGCCCGTCCGACCCAGCCGTGTTCGGGCAGTAGGCGGGTGCCAGCCCGTCGCAGGGCACACACAGACGAACAACCGTACACGTTCACACTCTCACCTTGTGAGTGTTCGATCAGCCTGCCAACCATGCATGTTTTTGGAATGTGGGAGGAAACCGGAGTACCCGGAGAAAACCCACGCAGGGAGGGCGGAGGAGGAATTGCGGCCCCTTCTCAAGGTTTCGTTTTTTTTTTTTTTTCCATTTTTCCTTGCCCTCCTGGGGGTTCAGGTCAGGGGATGTCGCGAATACTTGTCAACTGCGGGCACATGAAGCTCTTTGAGACTGTTTGTGATTAGGGCCTATCGAAAGAAATGTAACGACTGTCATCCTTGATCCTTTGCGTATTTTCATGTGAGACCTTTTATCAAGGCACCTGGGAACTCTGGACTGCCTCCTTTAAGACCTGATGAAAGGATCAAATGTAGAGTCAGATGCTTCCTTTAGCCTTGGCTGGGTTGCTGAGTTTAACACCGGCAGATTGTGCCGAGTTGACTAGCATGTTCTGATGTTGGTATTTCAGGGAATGGATGTGGCTTTTACTTGATCGGCGACCCTTCTTCGGTCTCTCCGGAAAGCAGACACCGCTTTAAATCGGCGTCACCCTCGGTTGTGCGCGACGATCGCGTTAACTAGGCTGAACATTCCGCCAGGGTCTGTGGCCGCTTTCCCCGCTTGGTCGCGAGAGTTTACGTTGTCAGTGAAACACAATTAGCTGGTTTTAAACAAACCCTTTGTTAAGAGAAACGAGCGCTATAATCTTTGGCTGTGTATTTTTATGGCGCTGTCCTTTGACTCTGTGGTTACGTAAACATACGGTCTCAGCTCCTGCTTGCCCAAGTCCTGTCACCGCAGTCATGCAATTTCCCCACTTGACAAAATGTAGCATGAAAAACTAAAACAAATGTTGTGAGATAAAGTTTTGTATAAGATGGATTTTTTTTTTTCCGTGTAGTCACCAAATTTTACAGAGGCCAGATGTGAGACGCACACACACACACACACACACACACACACACACACACACACACACACACACACACACACACACACACACACACACACACACACACACACACACAAACACACACACACACAAATTCCCATGAAAAACTTTGGACATCCGGACAATGGATGTGACGTTGACGCTTTTGCATTTGACTGGCAAAAGAGTTTTATCAACCCAACCGAGTCCAACAACGGTTTTATCTCCTGAAAATTAACGTCCACCTGAATAACGTTTCTCAGTTGAACAAAATAGCCATCCGATTGGTATACCTGACCACGAGGGAATCGGGGACAGCAAACGCCGGCCCAGCGACGCCTTCCTGTTCATCGGTTCGAGTTTGGCGCTGTTTTGCAGCTGCCTCTCACAGGTCGGTGCAGTTTGCCGCTCCCCGGTGCCCGGTCTCCCTCTCGTCGCTCCCCTGAAGCCAAACACCCTGAATAAAGCAACATTGCTTTTGAAAATGTTCTGCTTGTTCATCTGCACACACGCTTAAGCAAGCAAAAGGTTCCATGCCATCTAAGAAGAGCGGATGGAAATTTCTCATTCCGTGGTTGTGAAAAGAGTATTTTTCTGTCTTCGGATCTGGATCTCTTCTGGACTCGGACCTTGTGGCCTCGGACCTTTGTGACTCGGACCAGACTTGGACATTCCCTTTGTATTGTTGGACTTTGTATATGTGTGGATGACATCCGTTGTGGGGGGGATTTTTTTGAGGGTGGGGGGGGGGGGAAATTTGGCTTTTCGATGTTAAATTGAGGTCAGTCGTGTCGCTTAGAGGACAATGGAGAGATCGTTCGGCATTCTCCTTTGCCCCGGGGAACGTCTTTGGCCAAGAGCAACTTGTCAGCATTAAGTCATTAACTTGTGAATTTCAGCAATTGAAAACAATTCAATGAACTCAATAAAATCAGTGGATTGCAGCTCTGGAACAGCCCTCCAAATCGCAGCCAAATACTTCAACGGCTTCACCCCAAGTTCTCTCTCGGGTCTTGGACTTTGGTTTCGAGCTCGTCGAAACTTAATATCAAGCAATAAACATCACGACAACCTCAGCCACGATAGGAGAAAAGGAACAGATTCCGTGAGTCAGATCCTCAGAAATGTTGGCGTCACAGTCGCTGTCCTGCAAGCAAAATGTGAACACGTGCACAGTTGTGCACCCTAATACCGCTCGATACCATAACCGCCATTTGATCACGGACGGCCCAGCCCCTACTCGGGGCCGTCCATGCTGATCACAGAAAATATGATGATTAATTAATAACAAGATGGATTGTGCCAAATGTTTCCCATGGGATTGCCTCTGACGTCCATCCGGCGCAGATCTCTCACGGTAGCGCTTCCAAAAAGAGAAAGGACGCGTGGTGGATCGGAGGCGACTGAAAGGGGCTCACACAAAACCAAGTTATAAGATAAGAAAAGCGTCGACCAAAATAGAACTCAATATGCTGTTGGCCTAAATTGATGAGCAAATCTGATATCGTACGTGTCAAAAAGAAACAATTTGTCGACCAATAAGTGTAATTGGATAATTTTCTACAGTGCGCCTGATCATCTCGTGGTTGGGAATTAAAGCGTACGCCACCTCTTGCCCGAGGTGTGCGGGATCGGCTCCAGCACGGTCGTGACCCCGATGAGAACGAGTGATGCAGAAAATCGATGGACACGGATATCCAAACTCAAGTGTATTTCTCCAGCACTTTAAAACAACCCCCGCTGTATGCAAAGTGCTGGACATGCAGCAAAAATAATCCATACAACAAACATAAAATAAAACACTACATTATTATGAAAGACAGTCGAAATTACAAAAACAGCCCACCTAAAAATCTAGTTTCATGCTGAGTCAAAAGCCAAAGAATAAAAAGAGTTTGAAAGCTGGGCAGCGAGGGGGGCCTGCCCAACATTCATTCCAGCGAGAGGGAGCGGCAACGGAAAATGATCCATCCCCTCTGAGCCTCCGCTTAGTTCTTGGTAACTCCCATAGTGTCTGGTCCGCAGACCTGAGCCACCGGGCAAGGGTGGGAGGACCTCAAAGCGGGAAGGTGGGGCGATTGACATTGCCAAATTGGAAAACAAATCACAGGCTCTTCAAATGTGCCAGTGAAGGGATGCCAGAGGAGGAGTGACGTGCTCCCTCTTTATACGAATACCAATCAAGAGGCGAGCAGCAGCATTCCGGACCAACTGGAGACGCTTGATGGAGGATTGGCTGACTTGAAAGTCAAGTATCCTTCAGTAATCCAGCCGAGATGGGACGAAGGCACGAATGACTGTTTCAAAGTGCTCGCCAGAGAAAGGAGAGGCTTGACTAATTTTGCCAGCTGTCTCAGATTGAAAGATGCTTGCATTTTACAACGGCACCAATTTGCCGGTCCAATTATACTTCAAAATCACTGTCCAGTTTAAGACCCAAGTTCGAGACTGTTGTCTTGAGAGAAAGAGCCAGTAGGCCCAGAGGGGGCCAAGTCCGCAGGACGGGACGTGCAAGGGCCCCTGGGACCAAACACTTCTGTCCTTTTCAATGAAATTCCAGAAATTCGCTGCCATCCATGTCTTGATTTCCGGGTAACAGTGCAAGGAAATACCACTGAAGGAGCAGATTCAGCGAGAACAGCAGAGGCCCCGGAATTGCACTCAAAAAGATTCTTCTTTGAATGGGTCAACCTGACCCGTAACCGTGCCGGACACTGTTGAATTGCACTGCGGCAAAGGGCAACCAAATGAGTGACTTTGATTTGCAGTCCCCCAGAGGCGTCATCGCTGATGATGGTGCAATTTTTATGAGCGATGGCAGTAATTACTCGGCACTGAAAATCCATAACGTCACCAGTCAAGGTCTGCGGCACCTTTTGAACAAAGGCAGATGTTGCGGACGTCTCCGTTCAATAATGATATGAAAGCGCCGCGTTTGTTGATTTTCTGCTGTGCCGCCGTTGAAGTCGACGCCGGGCCCCGGTCCAAAGCTGCCACGAGGGGCCCCGCTTGAAGCGAATTGAAAAAAATCTTTTGTGACCGTCCGTCCACATGGGTTCGATCAAGCAGACACGTCATCGGTGGTAAATTATCCCGATGTTGCACATAGACTGAGACAGCACATGGCGGCAAGTCGCCCTTATTGTATGTTTTCAGTTTCAACAATATACAGGATTGGAAATGTAAATCAGCTGTGGTCAAGTATGTGCAGTTGGAACATGTTTCCATGCTGCATATGCTCAAACACTGGCTAGATTTGTTTTTTTTCTTTACACTTCAAGAAATTTCTTTGAAATAATAGCGTGATAAGCAAACAACTTTTGGCCATGTTGTTTGCTTACTATGGTGTGAAAGTCATGATTTTGATTGACACCGACTGAGAGAATCGAATGCTCTTGAAGTCAGATTCTTTCAGTTAGCATTCAAATCAATTTTATAAGGGCGGCACGGCGGTTAGCACGGTCGCCTGGCTGGAAGCGCGGAGAATTTATTCCCGCGGCGGCTTTTCTGTGTTCGCCACGTGCCTGTGTGGCTTTTCTCCCGGTACGCCGGTTTCCTCCCGCATTCCAAAAACATGCATGGCAGGTTGCCGGGACACTCGAAATTGTCCCCGGGTATGAATGTGAGAGCGTATTACGACGTGTTGGCAACTTTAGCGGTTCTCCTCCCGGTAACGCCGGACCCACAAATGCCAAAATGCTTGTCACCGTTCAAAAGTTTGCACTTGTGACATCCAAATGTGTGTTTTTATGTGACAGCACTTTACATGTGATACCTCACACATGCACTGCTGTCTGGCGGCACGTGTGCACAGTACCTGCCTTTTTCGAAGCGTTGCTCTTTTTCAAAGCCTTCCAGTCAGGATTTATGGAGCGAGTCAGGTTGACTTTCAGACCATCAAAGCGTCGTCATTTCTCTGCCAAGTTGGACTTGAAGACGAGCCATCCAAGGGCAACAGAGGCACCTAGCCCCATCCTGGGAAAGGAAGTTGAATTGGACTATAAATGCCATTGCGTGTAGTGACTCCCGACGGAATAGTTTGGCATCGTGTGTGCTAGGGTAGAGATTTCCATTCGTCTCTTTCACCAAAATAGAATTTTCGGGACCTCCCAGGCTGGCTGCAGTTTGAGAGGAGTTGGTCGAAGGTGTAAAGTCTTAACGTGTCTTTATGCTATGTTTCACGTGTGGCTGTTTCCAATGTGTTTTCTGGGTCTGCCTTGGGATCGGTCCATCAACATTTTCGAACATTAATACCTTTTCTTTTTTTTCTTCAATCGACCCGTGCGGCTCATGACATTACCCCCCAAGTGCGGCTGATTTAAAACTTTGGAGTCGGAGCTTTGGGAAGCTACTACCAGGAAAAAAAACAAAACAAAACAAAACACAAAAGCAAACATTTATTTGGTTAGCTTAATACAGTTGCTCCCCCTTTACAAAAACAAGGAGAACGTTGGACAAAGTCAGTCCATTGAATGCATAAGGATTTGAACTCGTATCCCTTCGACAAAATGACGCCATAAACTCTGGTTAAGTTAGAGGCGTCACTGGAGGAAATATGGAGACTGAAAGTTTTGGACATTGGACTTCTGGTCTTCTGGGGTGAGCTCAAGTGAAACAAAAGCTAAAGCAAAACAACATATTCAAGCACATGCTGTGCGCTCAACCTCTCCACTTTGCCTCTCATGCGGCAGTACAACTTGCGTTGCGTAGACTTGATCTGAGAAGTATCCATCCATTTTCTACCGCTTAGGGTCGGGTCAAGCAGCTTGAGCAGTGAAGCCCAGACTTCCTTCTGCCCAGCCACTTCTTCCAGCTCTTCCAGGGAAGGCCTTCTCAGGCCAGCCGGGAGACATGCTGTCCCCGGGGGCCTCCTGCCGGTGGGACATGCACCAAACACCTCACCGGGGAGGCGTCCGGGAGGCATCCTAAACCGATGCGAGTCACCTCATCTGGCTCCTCTCCTCGTGGAGCAGAAGCGGCTCGACTCCAACCGCGGGGAGGAGGACGGAGCTTCTCGCCTTATCTCTAAGCTCGGACGCCCTGCGATGACATCTGAGTTGAAAATAGCTCCTCTCTTCTCGACCTTCAATCAACAGATTAAAATGCAAATTGCTGGCGAGCGGCTAAGCGCTTGCACAACACTCTTTTCATTCTTATGAAGGAACATCGGACCCGGGAGCGTGGCAGGCAGTTCTCATCCTTAACACATCGAGATAATGGCTGGCCAAATTGTTCCCAGGCACTGTCTTCACTGTGCCCCGCGGAATTTTCAGGATCCGGGGAGTACAATAATCCGATTTTTCCTTCCTTTCTCTCTCACACTGCAAAGAAGAAGCGAAGGGGCTTAGAAGTGCCATGTCTACTTGTCACGACCCCTTTTGTCCCCTCTCCGCCCATCCGTGGACCCGGGCCTCAGACGCCTTCGCTTTTTCAAGAGCTCACCGTCACGGCCTCAAATAAACCTGCTCGAGGTGCCAACCCTGTTTTCCATTTTCCCGTCTCTTCCCCCCCTTCTACCCTCCCTTTCTTCCCCCCGGTGTTTATCCAACTCCGGTTCTCCCAAACCGAGGAGTCTCTCATGGTTAAGTGGTAGAGTTCACGCCGAGGTTCGTGGAAATTCACCAGATCGCTTACTAAACTGCCCGGGTGAGAAAAAGCTTGGGCCCGATCACCGGGATGTGAGTCAGGCCAGGCTCCCCTGTGTCAGGAATGAGTACACAATGCGTAATAAGCACTTCTGCTGCGTGCTAAGTTGCTCCGCTCGTGACATCTTGAAGCCGAGGGCCGTGCCAACTCTCCTGCTACAAAGACAAATTGTGCATGCGGAATTGCCTGGAGAGAATGCGAAAGCGCAATCCCCCACCCCCGCCCGTCCTACCGCCAGGCGCTCGGTGGGGACTCGGGCCTTGGGATGTATCATGCCGTCATTTTGTTCCTACCCTCATTTCGGGGGGGAAATCCTGATGGATGTATTTTCTCGGCGATTAGACAGGAGGAATATTAAGCGGAACTGCGGGGAGATTTGGAGGTAAGCGAAGACGGAGGATCGCAGTCAAAGCGTAGCAAGAGACCGGCTATGTCCGAGAGCCAGAACGCAAGTCATAATTCCCGAGTGCGCGCTCTTTATCTGGCAACGCTCGCTCTTTCACGGCAGCAGAAACTTCACATATGCGAAACAGCGACATCGCGGGGTCTGTTCGCTTCGCACTGGCGAAGATTGACAGTTGTAAAGGAACACTGCAATCCTCCGAACAATAAGCCACGTGTATCTTCCATTCAACCCGTCTTCTCGCACAGATGTTTTTGACACAGCAACTTGTTTTTTTTTTTTAGAGATCCAGCTTTAGCTGGAAGAGATCTCGTCTCTCCACCTGAATGTTCTGAGTTTGCTCCCTCGCAGCCAAGTTGAAGAATCCTTGAGGGAGGTACAAAACCCTGCGCTGTTCCCGCTGCCGCTTGGTCCGAGTGTCGGTGATCCATTCATCTTCTTTCCGTAAACTTGAACGGAGGGACGCAAGCAAGGTGACATTGCAAAAGCGCCTCGAGTACCTCGAAGGTTGTGGGGGGGGGTGGACTCGCTACAAGTGAAGCCCGTTGACTCACAAAGATCAGAGTTGTCACTGTCCGAACATGCTTTTGAATGAATTGCATTTGACTCGTGGATACATGACAGTATCAAGTCTGCTTTTGCGTCTTTCATTTAGTTATTTCATTTTTTTGGCAAGATCTCACACACACGCACACACACACACACACATAGAAAACAAACAAACACAAAAAAAAAAAAACCAACACTTCATCTCGGGCTGCTCTTGCTGATCTATTGTGGGGGGGGGTGGACTCGCTACAAGTGAAGCCCGTTGACTCACAAAGATCAGAGTTGTCACTGTCCGAACATGCTTTTGAATGAATTGCATTTGACTCGTGGATACATGACAGTACCAAGTCTGCTTTTGCGCCTTTCATTTAGTTATTTCATTTTTTTGGCAAGATCTCACACACACACGCACGCACACATAGAAAACAAACAAACAAACAAAAAACCCCCAACACTTTATCTCGGGATGCTCTTGCTGATCTTGACTGATGAAGTAATCATTCTGGAAAGGGAATCGTTCGCAATTGCTTTTCGCTTGCAAAGAACTTACTTGAAGTACGAGAACTGACTGCAGCTGGGAAATATAGTCCCTGTCCTTATTCGCTGACAGGCTGTCTGTTTCCTGGGTGGCAAAGAAAATCAAATCATTGGGTTACTCCAACAGGAAAATCATATTAATTTGACCCTACGTGATTGAAATGGTGCATATGCTTACTTCTTTTTCAATGGTCTTCCTGTACAAGATTGAGAGGCCAGAAAATGTTCCAGTTCCCCCTCACACGCGGATTTGAAGTTGGAAAAAAAGTGGGCGTGTCAGGACAAATCCGGGCGTCCACATTGCGGTCACATTGGCAGATTTCCCATTTGGACCCGGGCCGGAAATGGATCCGAGGCCAGTCGAATTCCTTGTGTTTGAATTGCAGGCTGTCTGTTTCCTGGGTGGCAAAGAAAATCAAGTCATTGGGTTACTCCAACAGGAAAATCATATTTATTTGACCCGACGTGATTGAAATGGTGCATATGCTGACTTCTTTTTCAATGGTCTTCCTGTACAAGATTGAGAGGCCAGAAAATGTTCCAGTTCCCCCTCACACGCGGATTTGAAGTTGGAAAAAAAGTGGGCGTGTCAGGACAAATCCGGGCGTCCACGTTGTGGTCACATTGGCAGAGTTCCCATTTGGACTCGGGCCGGAAATGGATCCGAGGCCAATCGAATTCCTTGTGTTTGAATTTTGCTTACGCAACCAAAATGGGCCATTTCGTTGAATCAAATCAGAATTGGCCCACTGAAAGCACATAGTGCATATCCATCCTTGTAGTCCAGGACAAAGTCCAAAAAAAAAGAATAATGCGGGTTGTCAATGAAAGGTAAATGCAACCTTGTGCGCCTGCGTTGAAGAGAACGGCAGATGTGGCGATAGCGGCACATATTTTACTGCTGATGGTTTCCAAGTCACTAGAGAGATGTGGCAAACGACACCAGAGCCGAGATAATTCCCTACGTCTTGTCACTTATCTGTCTACGTTGGACGATAGCGGAGCTATCTGTTTGTTTTGGAGAGGACGTCGCCCATATCGCTGTCTTCCTCCCCATACAGGTACGCCTGCGGGAGAGAGAATGGCGCTCTTTGACAGGAGAGAGCGAGAGAGAGAGAGAGAGAGAGAGAGAGAAGGGGGAAACCACGGTCTACTCCGGCGTGCCCTTGCTCATTCTCCAATCAAATGGCCTGTGTCGTGTCGGCCTTCTGGAAACAATAGACCTATTCAACACCGAGTGGAGTCTCTATCCAGGCTGGGCCGAACACGATATCTATAATTTCTGAGCTGTTGAAACGCTGCCCCCCCCCTCTCGCCCCCCTCTTTTAAATTGGTTTTTAACTCTAGTCATCTAGTCGTCCTGATCAGTCAGATTTGAATTGAAAAGATGAAAATGAAAGGCTAAAGACTTTCTTGGTATTGGTGTTTTCGTTTTTGCCGATTCTTGGATGCGGTCAATTAATTGTGCCACGTCCGGAGGGCAGCTTTCATGACAGTTGACTTGAGTTTCATCTGCCTCACAGTTCCGAGGTCTGCACTCCTTCTGTGTGCCGTTTGCAGATTCCGTTTTCTGCCGGTACTTCCGCCCACATTCCAAAACGGTGCAAAGGGAGGTTGAATGAAGACTTTGAGTGGGACTGAGATCAGCATCTAAGTGTGAATGCTTTTCTTGTCCATAGGTGCCCTGCGACCGCTCAGGGACCAGTCCTGGGCGTATTCCGCCTCTTGCCCAAGGTCGGCTGGGACGGGTTCCGGTACCCCCGCGACCCCGTTCAGGATCAGCGCTGAAGAAAATGGACGGGTTTCTTCGCTCTCAATGAGTGAGACTGGCTGGCGCCCGGTTTGGGCTACCCAAGGGGATAGAAAAGGGATGCGTGGTCATGCGCTCATCAGCTGAATCCACTCGCACTTTTTGAACAGAAGCGAGGCTGGGCAGAGATTCACTTTCACAAACAAAACCAAAAACAGGGAGAAAGCTGTGCTGAGGGGTGAACCGCCGCAGAAGTCTCCTTCAAAAGTACAGATTGAGTTCCCGCCCCTCCATGTAGCGAATGCCTTTTCGCGGCATCGCAGACAAGGAATACGTTGTGTTCTTCAACTGAAGTGATCCACAAATGCGGCGCTCAGCCGCCTCCTAATCTTGAAGTCAACGCCAGTATTGTTTTACGCGTAATGTGAAACGCGCATTGCCATCAGCTCGACATTGCCGTTTAACGCAATTAAACGCATGACAAGTTAAGGCGAGCCGCAGCGCTGCAACGTGATACCAAACTGCACATGAAGAGTTCAGTCAGTCATGATCAAGATCAACGTAACGCCATCCCTTCCCATCAAGCCGCGACAAACCCACGAAGCTCTCGTCTCATATTCCAGCGCTGGTCAAAAAAAGGGCCATCCCGCGTCCAACGTCATTTGCCACAAGATTATGCTTACCTCACTAAAAAAGGAGAAGAGAGGGACTTTCTAAGAAGTACGCCGAGTGAAAAGCATGATTGATTGGGGTTGAGGGCAAGACTTTGAAGAATACAGCCCATCTGGAAAGGGCTGATCCATTTTTCCACATGATGCCGCATTCCAACCTTCTTGCAAAATGGATGACATGCTTCTTTTTTTTTTCTCTTCGAAATTCGACCAAATTCAACACCTCATTATGACAATTCCCCGATATGGATTTTTCAACTGATCTTTGAAAACCAACGCGTGACAATTCAAGCACCAAACCTTCCAAAAGAAAGAGCAGACTTTCTTCTTGCAATATTTTTGGGGCTTACACCTCAAACTGGAAAACAAACAAAAGCAAGCGTGACATTTTGTGAGCATGGCTCGAGTTGAGCGTCGGTTGGCTTTTTTTTGCACGCACTTCATCACAAGCGCAAGTACTTTCCACTCATCTCGGACGACATCGCCTGTTTATATCCCGTCCATATGCTGCGCATCCTCTTTTCATCATGGCGTTCCGGTGCGAGGTACCTAAACGTGTTTGACTTTGGGCACGTCGTCATTTCGCTCCTTCGTAATTGGCGTGACAAGCCAACATTCAACCGTCTGATCTTCAATCCAAAGGGATGCAAGGCCACGATCTACGGGGATCTCTTTGTATATATTTGGGGGAAGTCAAGGGTTGGAATTCCATCTCGACGAATATGGCCGTCCACAGCAAAGAATGGGTCCAAAAAGGCGATGAAACACACATTTGAGCGCAGGTGCATCCTGGTTCCGGCAGTCAGCCTTGAGATGGTACCTTGGCGAACTTCCTGTGGCAGGGGTGCCGGAGCGCCTATCCTGGCCGTCTTCGGGCAGTCGGCGGGGCACCCCCTGAACTGGTGGCCAGCCCATCGCAGGGCACACACAGACAAACGACCATTCGCACCCCCGATCGCACCGAGGGACAATTTCGAGCCTTCCATTAACCGGCCACGCGAACCAGTCGATCACCGTTTGTCCACGCAAACTTGGCGAGACCCGAGTCGGCGTCAGTGAGCCCGATAGTTTGTGCTTCTAAACGCAGTCACTGAGAAGGTGTCAGTGTGTCACGTGTCCACAGACTGGCAGACGCTAACGTGCATCCCTGTATCCAAATAAAAGAGCGCGGGGGAGATTTGTACCTTGTCAAAACATCCAGACCAAAATAGTGCATTTGATGCACTTGTCAAACAGCACCTGCAGCATTCTTTTTTTGTCTTTTACAAGCAAGACACGAGCCAAGTGTTGTCAATATTAGGCAGGCATTGACAGGTTGCTCTCATAGCAGAGAGATGACGATTGAAGAGGTTGAAACGACGCCTGACAAAACAATTGCTGAGATTGCCGTGTTGCGGAGATATCGGCAGCCCATTTATTGACAGCGTGGCAGTTGGGAGTAGATTTGAAAGTCTATAAAGAAATGTGGATACACAGTCGAGCTTGATCGGAGTCCAACTGAATTCGCCCATTTCGGAACTTGTTTGACTCAAACTTATGAAGCGGCATTTTCAAAAAGTGTGTCCAATTAGTTTAGCTTTTGATGTTTTGAAACAGCACTTTTTCAGTTGGAGGGCGGGAGGAGGGGGCGAGGGGGAAATCACTTCGTATCACGGTCGGTAACCACCGGCGCCAAACCATGTAAATGACATTTACAGACATCATGTACAGGTCAGAAAGCTTTTCACATTACAGGCCTCATCCTCCTCTTAGGACTCATCCGCGAACTCCAAAAGCCTCAGTAAGAAAGCTGCTCCTAAAATGATGTCACATAGGAATCAAAGCTCGGAGTTCTTGGCAGGCGGGAGCTTCGGAACCTGAAAGCAAGGAGACTCAAGTCCCCAATCTCAACACAACGCATTGGACAGCTGAATGGGAAACGTTCTTCGCTTTCATCCGTGCACTTGGATTTGTGTTCATTGTCCCTGTTATTCACATTTCAATCCAAACAAAGCTAAAAATCGTGAATCTTCCTTCATCGCCCTTGACCAGCAGACGCAGGCCATTTCTTTGGACGCGCTTCACTGCAATTTCTCTCCATCTCGGAACCGATGCTGGCTTCATTTGGATTTGCCTTTCGATGTCATCTGCCGGCAGAGTCATTCGGCCATCAGAAAAGGTGTCGCCTCCTGATTAAGATGATGGCCGGCTACAAAGAGAAATGTTCTGCTGGAAACCAAATGTTCCAATCGCGCTATATCTCAGTAATGCGAGAATATTGCCAATGCGTCGTATGGAGGTCGTAACGCGGCACCGCCATCTTCGAGCGAGAATGCACAGGTTGCAACTGCTCTCGGGCCGCTTGCCAAGAACACATCCATCTTTCCAGGAGGCCTAGCATCTGCCTCTTGGCACGCCGCTTTTAGCTGATGACTGACAGCTTTCACAATGCCGACTGAGCCAAGTAGCAGCCCAAGGCGCATTGTAACTATAGCCATGACATTATTTGGCTCTGCTTATTATTGAATTTTCTTTCTCGCTCGCATACTACCACACACACACACGCGCACACACACACATTTATCTCCATGCACCAAAAACGTATGCAAGTCGCTCGTCACCTGACATGTGTGGAGGCAGCATGGGATCGGTTCCCTCTCAGTGACGACGTGGATGCGGGTGCGAATGGTCGCCTGCCTCTATTTGTTCCTTGCAACTGACCGAGGACCAGTCCAGGGTGTAGTTTGCCCGAAGTCAGCCGGGATAGGCAGCAGCACCTCCCCGCGACCCTGTTCAGAATAGGCAGTGTTGAAAATGGACGACTGGATTGGCTGGATAAAATGGATGCAGTCTATCTTTTCAGGATTATTATGTACTCTGAGCTTTGTTTTTATTTAGGTACTTTTATTTCAGCTACTGTGCATCCACTCATCTCTTCACTG